TTATCAAATTCTCTCAATGTGTAAGCCTAAAAATAGTCATGTATGATCTTGTTTGATTCGTTTTAACATATAGATTATTAATATATAATTTTTATAATTTTTTAATATACAAATTACAAGATAAAATGGATTAAAGAAGTGCATTGGATGGTGTGCAAAAATAAAAGTGGACAAACACTGAGGGAGTATTTGTTAACCTACTTCGTCCAGAAATATTTTTTCTTTGATAACTTAACACGTTTATTTAAAAGTAAAACAAGTGTCGAACTTCTAAAAATACCCCTACTTTAATTTAGAAGTGAATTAATTTGTATAGAAATCATCTAAATAGGACTAAAACATAGAAAAAACTACCAAAATAGGATTTTCATGTTTTTTTCCAGAATAAGACTTTGCACTATGGTCATGTGACTTTGCAATGTGGTAATGTGGCAATGTACATGTGCAAATTACTATACTTTTTTGGTAATGTATATGACCATGTTTAGTAATGTAAGTTCTATTTTGAGAATAAAAACATGGAAGTCCTATTTTGGTATAATTTCAATGTTTTAGTCCTATTTTGGTCTTTCTCCCTAATTTGTATGGGTGGATGTTCTATTTATCTCTACACATGTGTAAAATATCATTGTTTTTAGGCTTTCAGCGAGCCGAAGTAAGTACGGAGTACAATTTTCTCAAGCCTTGGGTCAAATAATTTTAAAATTTATACTTAGTTTCTTGTAATTTTTAAGTTTTTCTTTCTTTTTAAGAACAAAAAAATTTCCATCGTCTCTGATGGAGCCAAAATTTCACCATTTTTTGGCTTTGGGGTGTGATGGAATAAATCAAAATGGATTTCTAAAATGTCTGCGCTTTTTTAATTAATGAAGTAGCAGTTAGTCAAACAATGCAACTTTCGACGTTGAGCCGGGGGTCTCTTTGGAAACAGCCTCTCTACTTTCGAATAGAGGCAAGGTCTGCGTACACACACCCTCCCCAGACCCTACTCTTGTGGGATTTAACTGGGTTGTTGTTGTTGTTTACGAACAAAAAAAATCATATTCCATATTTGTCTAATTTGACTTTTTTGAGTCAAAGTAGACGAATATCAATACTTTCTCCGTTCCATAAAACTTTTAAAAGACAAAAAACTCACACCCTAAAAATGAGTAATTTTGATATTATTTTCTAATTATGATTCATCTATCATACATATATCATATCTGACATAATTTGATTATAATTAGTCTTATTGGATATTGAATGATACATCCCTATTTATAGAGATTACAAGAGAGGATTCTAATCATAGTATAAGAAGAACTATAGTAAAAATACAATAAAAAACAATAAAATAAGCAAGGTATAGAGGAGCAGCTTGGAGTACAGGTACTGGAATTGAGCTGGCATAAATAGTTTTGTGAGGATAACCTTTAGAAGTGGATAGTCAGATCTTTGTTGCATGACGAACGAGCTTGAAATTACGTTTGCTGAGTTTTTTTCCTGGTGAGATTGTTGACCATTGGAGCGAGGGCGATTAGTTTCTTTTTTCTCCTTTTGGGTCGTTCTTTGCTCCTCTATGACTTTCCAGGCTCTCGATCGTTAGAAAACAACAGACGAGTGTAAATTTTCTGTTCTTCAATCATGCACATGATTTTTGTGGAAGAGAGAGAGAGAGAGATAATATTTTTTTAGAGAGAACGAAAGGGATAAGGGATGGCGGCTATTGGACACCCTCATTCGGCTCATAATTTTTTAGATCAGAGAGAAAAAGAGGGATAAAGGACGGCGGATGTTAGGCACGCTCATTGAGATAGGTCGGTGACGCCATGCTATCGGACAGTCGAGAGCCGTGAACAAAGACTGGCGATGTGCTCGGTCGGAAAAGGAAATGCTAGGTTTTTGAGAACCTTAGCTCTCATACCGTGATACAATTTGATTATAATTGGTCTTATTAAATATTTAAGGCCGATACATTCATATTTAAAGGGATTATAAGAAATAGTTCAAATCATAGTAAGAGAAGAACTTTAATAACAATTCAATAAGAAAATACTAAAATAATAGAGATAATATATTCTATCTCCTAACATATCTAGTATTCCTAATAATATCCTATCTTATTACTCCATATAAAGTAAGAGTAAAAATTAGAAAATAATATCAAAATTATACAGAGTACATTTTTAGGGTATATCTTTTTTTCTTCTTTGAAAAGTTTTATAAGACGGAAGAAGCAAGTAAATATTTTTAATTTGTATTGTATATAAATATAATAAAATAAAATTTTGAAAATTTCCAATAAAATAAATTTAATGGAATCATTTTAATACTGTATTGAAAAGTTCTTCCATGGACCTAATGTATGTACTCGTTTTATGAACCTTAATCTATTTGTAGTATAAAAAAGTGACTTAATGTCCGTATCATTTTTATATAAATATATACTTACATTTTTTATTTAACTAAAATTTAAATTTTTCTAATTTAATATAAAAAGTCAAACTCAACCAATATCACATTCCTATTTTGCCACATGCAATGGCACTGCCACTTGGGTTGAATTATTGAAAGAGAAACAAAATTTGGGCATGAATCCACCACATCTTTATCCTAATCCAATATCACGTACTGTGTGAGTGTTACACTCTTCCAAATTGCAACTTCTTAGACGCCTCGTACATCTCTAGAGGGGGTGAATAGAGGTGTTGCCCAAAAGACTAATTGTTTTGCGCAGAAAAGTTCTTCACGAATATTCAATAAAAACAATGCACCACAAACAAAATGAAGTGAAGAATAAGAGCAATGCACACACGATATATACTGGTTCGGCCTAAATGCCTACATCCAGTCTCCGAAACAATCGTGACCAGGCCTTCACTAACCCGTCAAACTAAACGGAGTTTGACAATCCGAATACAACTCGAGAACTTGATTTCACAAGCCTCTTATCTTACCACCGAAGCTTTGATTTCACAAAACTCAAGATTTCTTCCACCTAACGTTTGATTTCACAAACTGTTAGGATTTCTACCACTTGGTGTAATCCCAACACCAAGAATACAAATCACTTACAATAAAGTAAGAAAACAAACCGAAATCGAGTAATTCTCCCAACACGGAGTAGATTATTGCAAATACAATGAAGACCTTTAGAATATGGCAATATCTCTCAAAGACTCAAGCAAGAAATGATTTAGCAATCAAAACAATTGCCTTGCTTGGATATAAGGAGGGGATTGAGTAGAGTCTCTTTGGATATTCAAAGGATATGTTTTTGAAGTGTTTTCAATGTATATTCTTGGCCAAAAACACGAGATAGGGTAGTTTATAGAAGTTAAGGAGTGGATATAGATGAAAAGCATTCAAAAAACTAGCTGTTCCGTAGTTGAAACTGTCGAACTATTCGACTAAGTCAAGACTTAGTCGACTAGTTTTGGTGAAACTGCAATCTGACTTATTCCACTAGTTTTGGATTTATTCAACTAAGTCAGAATAGAATTTCAGGGATTTGTTCGAATAGTTTTCAATTTATTCAAATAATTTGCTGAAAAAAATGTGTTTTAAAGGTAGGATGATAAGGGTATGAACCTTAGAGATGTCATACTCTTTAACACATGATCTAAGACCTAAAACACTACCCAACTAAGGAAACAACCTCTTCGGTCTCGTTCCTTCCACCGATGCTCAAGTCTCTTCTTCACGGATGGATATGAACTTGTTGTAGCTTTGATTCTTAGCCTTGATGCACAAAATGATGATGATGTTTTTTCACCCTTTTGTCATTATCAAAACTTAAAAGACAATGGGCAAAGTACATTACAAAAATACATATTCATGATAGCACATTGTCCAACACAACTATTCAACATAGAATCGTCAAACAAGACTTTATCTCATCCACCCCACATTTTTGTATTTAAGTATGGTTAATAAAGAGAAAAAAGTATCCTACCATTGCAAAGCTACATTGCATATTTATTTCCCATTGTTGACTTTTAAATTAGTACTTTGTCTCACAACATTTGTCACTCCTCTAAATAATGTGTAAAATCTAGTCATTTTTAAAAAAAATTAATTAAAAGTTACTATAAAAATAAAAACTACATATGAATTTGTTTGAAATATATTAAAAATTCTACAAAACAAGATGTAACATGAATATTTTATTAAATGATCTACAAAAAATACAAGTTGTCAAGCTGCCACAATGTGACAGTGAAAAATATTGTGGACGGAGATAATATCTTTTTTCCTTTCGAAATAATTGCAAACACATGAAGTTTACATTTATCAATGCATAACTTAAATTATACTCCTCCGTTCGGAAATACGCTTCACATTTAGATGAAAAGACTAAAGTATAGCAAAACATGAAAAGAATGGTACAAAAATAAAAGTTCTATGTCTTTATTCCAAAAATAGGGGTTAAAATGATAATAAAATGTCAATCATGAAAGAAAATTAGGTTTTATTACATTATGTGACATGTCTGATCTTCAAAACAAAATCTTCTGATATATAAAGTATAATTATTAATATATTATTTTATAATAAATATTGCGTAAATAAATTGAGGTGCAACGTAATTACAATAACTTTTTAAAATTTAACATTTTTATATATATGCTAACTTTATATTCTAATTAATTTTTTTCGTAAAAATAGTTTATTTGTGTAAGAAAAATAACAATACTTTTTTTTATCATAGATGCATTCATTATGATAATGTGATAATAATAATAATAATTTATAACAACAACAATTATTGCGGAGGGATAACATGCCCTAAAAATTGGTGCTGCAGCCAGTTCGGATATTGCGGTCGCAGTTGTGACTACTGTGGACATAGCTGTCAAAGCAACTGCCATCCTGACTGTCCTCCTGTTGCCACTAAGTTTGTTAATGAAACCGGTAACACCAATAATCCTTAATTGGATGGCGCGCGCCCGGCCAGTTTCCATTATGAACAAACAGCTATATATTGTTGGTTCTAAGTTTATGCTAAAATGTTGCAGCATACACCGGCGCATACCATGTGATCTGGTGTATGCTAGTATAATTTATCTATCTATAATAATAAAATAAAGTAGGGGTTTGTGTTTGGCAAAATATATAATTCCACCCTACTACCTTTTCCATTTTCAATATAATTTAGAACAAACATATGTTTTATCTTATCTTACGACATACACACACTGCCTGCTCACCACTATGTGATTGGTGTGTGTTATGAAGGAATGTGCTCAATAAAGTTGTGGTTTATTTGTGTGTGCAAATATTTCTATATAATATCGTGTCGTTTATTGTACGAGTTTAATATCATCATGTCGATCTGAGTTTTTTTTTTTTGCTCTGAACATAAATATATTAGCGTTGTCCTAAATAATTCAATTGCTTCAATTTTTGTTTCAATTAAGACTTTTAAAACAAATATTACTCATCATTTTTCTACTATTCTTGGTAAATGGGTTAGTGCCATGCAAATTTTAAAAATACTCCTTCCGTCCCAAATGAAATCGCATAATTACTATTTATATGATCAAACTGTATTCACTTTCTTACCATATTTTTGTTAATCATTTGATAAAATAATATAATCATTCCACCACTAGTTCAGTGGCGAATCCAAAACTTTAAATAGTTGGGGGCACAAAGGTCGGGGCGGGTTTAGGGGATGTGCCTATGTTTTTCTAATAGACCATTGAAAATAATAATAAAAAGTTAAAAATTTTATTCAAATTTTTTTGAATGTGAATTTTTGAATAGATAATTTAAAATTTTATTTTATAAAATATTATTTATATATATTGAAACACACTTAAGTTGGGGTCCCTTCAATCTTAATTGGGGTCAAATAATACATGAGTGTAAAAGATTTTTTTTAAAAAATAATCTTAACATCAAAAAATTAGTTGGGGGCCATTGCCCCCTACTCCTATTTCTTAATTAAATTTATTCAAAGATTTCATTCTAAAGTACTTATTTGATATTTTCTAAATCATAAATTTTCTATTACGTATTAACCATTAATTTCTAGTCACTAAATGAAATCATAAAATTAAAATATTTTAACTATCAAATTATGTCTAGTATTTTTTCTACTTTAAGACTATTATAACCCAATGATCTCTTGTTTTTTAAACTTGTTTAATGTAGTTTTTCAAATATATCGTTTTCATTTAATTTTATATCAATGTCGTTTTTAACATGTTTTTAACAAATATTCGTATGAAATTTATTTAGAGGTGAAGAGAGTAACATATTTATTAATTGAAAACTTTGTTATAAATGAAGCGTGAAAAGGTATTAATTTAGGAAAGAATATTATTATAAAAACGAAAATTGTGGTTTCATATTTAAATTTTTTCAAAAAATTCAGCCTAAAATATTTATTTCATACTTCCTGCATCCCTGAATATTCATCCACTTTAGTTTTTTTTGGTCAAAATTGGTAAAGTTTGACCTCAAATTAAATAAAAATTATATTAGATATTGATAAGAAATTAGTTTTATTTGATTAATTATATCAAATATTTTCAATATATTACTTTATCGAAGTAATATACAATATATATTTTATTTTATTTAAGGTCAAATATTGAAAATAGTTAACTGGAAAAAGTCAAAATTGGATAAATACTCAGAGACGAGATATTATTTTCTTATCCTAAGTTAGGTGAAATAAGTCGCGTACATGTCAATTTTTTATTAGGTGACATCTTTAACTATTGAAAGAGAAACCAAATTTGGACAGCATCTTTATTCTTATCCCAATGTCACTGTACGAGTGTTACACCCTTCCAAATAGACCTGTCAAAACAGGACCGGAACCGATTACCCGAACCGAAATATCTGAAACCGAAATCGAAATGACTCGAAAAATGAAGATCTGATCTATAACTGAAAACCCGAAATGATCCGAATCGAACCGAAACCGAACTAAATAATTCATATCCGGTTTAAATCCGAAACCAATTAGATCTGAAACCGATAATATCCGAACCGATTAAACCCGAAATCGATTGGAGCCGAAACCGATAAAACCCAAAACTGATAAAACCCGAAACCGATTAGATACGAAACCGATTATATCCGAAACCGGTTAGAGCCTACATCGATAAATTTGGAACTATGTTTTCCTTTCAATAAGCATTTTATATTTTTATATTTTTACTTTTATTTTACCATTTGAACTAATTACATTACTTGCTTAATCCCTCATAAAATGGATTCTCTTCTTGAAAAAAAGTACAAAATTTCATGCCTTAAATTTATTATATGTAGAAATTAAAGATAAGTTATACATATAAATGATAATGCACAAATAAATAAAATTTCCGTAATTTTTAAATAGTAAAGTGTGATATTCCGTTTGAGATGAAAGAATTATATAATGAATTGTATGGAATAACTAGATTTTATCTTGATTTCATCCCATTATAATAAATTTTATTGATTTGAGAGTTAATTTGATTAGTTTTAAACACATTCACTCAATATTAGTCAATAAAATTAGATGTTAATGTTAGCATTTTGAAAAGACTCTCTAGCGGCAGCATTTAGTGTTATCATTTTTAAATTTGATCTACACCATTACATTTAAGTGTAAACTAAATTATATTTGACTCTATTAAATTTAATTTAGTCTATTTTCAACAAAATACATTCAATAATTTATAAATTTTGCACTCAATTGAATAAAATTCACTTAATTTCACCCAATTTTACTCAACTTTTTACCAAATTATATTCAAATGGAATATAACACTATTTGAATTTATCTCTTATCTTTTTATTTATAAACATAGGTATATTAGTAGTTGTGAGGAAAGTTTGATATTGCAAAACTACATTTTAAAATCAATTTAATAATATTAAATTTATATCAGAATTAAATATATATGTTTTCACAATTTATAGTCCATGATGGTGTAAATATAGCTGGACGGGTTAACCGGGTTTAACCTGGACACTTGACCCGTAATATAAAACACACAACAAGAACACAAAGAATGACCTAGACCGGGTAAATCTCCTCAGTCCGAAATATATTTCTTACTCTGTCTCAAGAGTGTACTAGTTTTTAGTGAGAGAAAGAATGGATCCCCTCCTCTATCCAATATCATCATATTTATAGAGGAAGATTTGTGACCTTCCCATGTTCATCCATGGACAAAATAGGAAACCCGGAGGAAGGTCACTGTACATAATCAATCTACTATTCAATCAATGAATTTAGCAACTCTAAGCCAAGACATGTACTGTTCAATCAAAGACTATAAATGGATATTCTCAATCCAATCAGCCCTGCAAAATGACAAATATTCCTTTCACTGTTTGCCTCGTGATGGACGAACGGCGGGGTGGTCCCTCGATCTCATACGTGGTTCACCATGCCTGAGATACTGGACCAATGTTTGCAAAGTAAAGTGACATGACCGGTCACCTTCTCTCAAAGGTTACCCGGTCATTCTTTGTGCTCAACCCATCTCTGGTCTTCTAGAATGTCCTTTGTAACATTAGACGACATTTTGGCTATCGCCTAAAATGTGACCGGTCACTTTTTTAGTGGAAGTGACCGGTCAACTTTTGACCCGTCCCAATCGAAGAGTTAACCTCATTTGGTGATAGATAAAAGTGACCGGTCATATTTTGACCTGTCCCTTTCGGTTGTCCGGGTCGGGTATAGGGATATACCCATCAGTCCAAATTTGTAAAATATGACCAAAAAGTCAAAAAGGAAAGATTATTTAGGTTAGAGATAATATAATTAGAAAAATATATAAAATAATATGAGATATTGAATTGATGATAGATAAATGTGATACAACATAAAAAGAAATATGGATAGTTAAATTTCAATTAGAAAATAATATATATCCAAAATATATTTGATCCAAAACCGAAATATATCCGAACCGAACTAGACTCGAAACCGAAATATATCCGACTCAAATTGTATCCAAACCAAAATCTTTCTGAACCGATTTATAACTGAACCGTATCTGAACCGATTCGAAACCAAACCAAACTAAAAATGTATCGAACCAAATCAAATCTGAACCGAAATTTCACCAATCCGATCCGAACCGAACCGATTATAACATATAACCGAAAGATATCCAAACCGAAAAAATTCAACCCGAAACCGATCCGGTTGATTCGATTGCCACCTCTACTTGCAAATTGCAAGTATGCAATACAGAACCGTCAAAAAAGACAGAGGAGTGTTACGGGAACATCTAGACCTGGCAAAATTTGACTCGACCCGTTTTTTATCCGAAACCCGACCCGATATTAGTGGGTTTTGAACATGAATTTTCTGACCCGAACCCGAAATAACCCGAACCCGAAGACCCGTTAAAATTTCGGGTCAGGTCGGGTCGGGTCGGGTTTGACCCAAAGGGTTAAGCACCCTCCAAGCTTACTAACTTAGAAATTAAGATTTGGGCAATTACCCAACCGGCCCAAACTCTTTTTTATGTTTACCCAATAATCATTAAAGCAAGAAGTGGGAAGACGCAACACAGTATCGGCTATTCACCTTCTTCTCTCGATCGGCAACCCCCTGTGGTTTATCTCTGCCAATTTTTGTAATCACTCTGTCAATCATCCTCCGGTGGTGTACCCTCAATTAACATGGTGAGAAGACACAGACACAGTAGCGGAATTCCTGATCCTATATCATCATCTTCACTTGGGTCTATAGGTAACTAATTTTTAACTCTCTCCTTAAATTTAAATCTTCAACCTTCAATTCTTAGAATTAATGTTTAATTCTCTACTTGGGTGTTGTACTGCTGTGGTTAGAATATTTTGAGATTATTCATTAGTTGATGGAATATTTTTTTAGTTTCTTTTTACAAAATTTAAAGATAAATTACTTTCTTATTTATAGAATTAAGAATTTATTAGTTTCTTTTTTAGTTTCTTTTTTACAAACTTATAGCAGAATTTTTTTAGTTTCTCCTTTAGTTTTTTTTAAAGAAAATTTTCAGTTTATTTTTTAGTTTCTTTTTTTTTTTTTTTGAATTTTTTTAGTTTTTTGTTGGATTGTAGCTGCATTTTTTTGAACATAAACCTGAATTTGGATTACTTCCTCGATAGGATTTAAATAAAGACAATGTTTTTTTGTTTAACTAGTTTTATTTTGTTTGTCAGTTTAATTGTATTTAACTTGTTTCACTTTGATTGTTTTAGCAAACACTGCATCATTGAATTGTATGTGGGAGTACCGGAGTAACTAATAATCTAATATGTTGGGGGCCATTAGATGTGATAATTTTATTTTGTTATGCAGGAACTACCACTACAACGGAAGAGTCTTCACAAAATCGGAAAAGAAAATGGGCTTCACCAATTTGGGATGAGTATAATGTGTTTGATGGAGATCAATTTCCAGATGCTCAAGATAGAGCTATTTGCAAATACTGTAAGGGAGGACCAATTTTTGCGAATTCTAAGAATGGTACTACTAATTTTAAACGCCATACAGAAAATTGCCATGCCCGTGTTGCTAATGATGTTGGTCAATTACTATTAAACAAGAAGGCTAACTTGGATAAAAAATTAGACCAAGGCACATACAAAGAGTTGGTTGCACTAAGCATTAAAAGACATGATTATAGCTTTAGTTTTGCAGAACATCAAGGGAATAGGGGCTATTCATGTTTATTTGAATGAAGAGTGCAAACCTATCTGTAGAAATACAACTAAGAATTATTGTTTGAAGATTCATGAAAGAGAAAGATTGAAACTTAAAAAAGTCTTGAGTGAAATTGATGGAAAAATATGCTTCACTTCTGATATGTGGTCATCAATTGTTGGACAGGGTTATCTTAGCTTGACAGCTCACTTTATTGATGATAATTGGAATTTGCAAAACAAGATTCTTAGCTTTTGTCATGTGCCACCTCCACACAATGCTGATGCCATTCATGAAAAGATTTTAAGTCTTCTTAAGATGTGGGGAATTCATAAGAAAGTCTTTTCCATGACGCTAGATAATGCGAAGTACAATGACAACATGCAAGGTCTTTTATCTGATAGTCTCTCTATTTATTCGCATTTGCCTGCTAATGGTGAGTATTTTCATGTTCGTTGTGCTGCTCATATAATGAATTTGATTGTTAAAGAGGGTCTTACTATCATTGACACTTCCATGCGTACACTTAGAGACTGTATAAAATATGTCACTGCTTCTGAGGGTCGTGAGTTGAAATTTGAGGATTGTGCTAATAGTCTTGGCGTGGATACTTCAAGAAGTTTGTGGTTAGATTGTCCTACTAGGTGGAATTCTACTTTTAAGATGATTGATAGAGCACTCCCGTATTGTTTTGTCTTTTCTGGTGTGAAAAGGATGGACCGTGATGCACCCGCAGTTCCAAGCGATGAAGAATGGGTAAGAATAGAAAGGATCCATGAACTTTTGAAACCATTTGATGAAATTACTACACAGTTTTCTGGAAGACACTATCCTACAACAAATAAGTATTTATTAAATGTGTGGAGAATTCAATGTTTTCTAAAGAGACATTCTGATGACATAAGAGAGACAGATATGTGCATAAGAGAGATGACAAAGAGGATGAAAGTGAAGTTTGACAAGTATTGGGAATCTTATAGCATGATACTTTCATTTGCAGCAATTTTAGATCCTCGATATAAACTTCAATTTGTGAGATTTTGTTTTACAACCTTAGATCCTACGACTGTAGAAGTGAAGGTGAAAGATGTGAAGGACAAACTTTACAAACTATTTGGTGAGTATTCAACAGTTGATCCTACAGCCAATGTGAATTCAAATTTAAGGAATACCTCAGCAGATTTAGAGGTATGTTTATAATTTCATTTTATATTTATTTATAATTAAATTATAATACTCTAGAATGTTTATGTTCATTCATGACTTTTAAACTTAAGATTATATATATTCATAATTTTTTAATTTTTGATATCCATTTCTCTATTGAAATTTGTATGTAGGTTTTTTTAGCATTTGATGGAGTGACAACTTCTAGGTTTAAATCCCAATTGGATGTGTATTTGGAAGAACTCAAGGTGGATCCTAATGAAAATTTAGATGTTCTTGAATGGTGGAAAGACAATGCTAAAAGATTTCCTGATGTTGCAAAAATGGCAAAAGATATATTAAGCATACCAATCACCACAGTTGCATCTGAATCTGCTTTTAGCTTAGGTGGTAGAATTTTAACAAAGTGGAGAGCATCACTTAAGCCTGAGAATGCTGAAGCTTTGATTACCACCCGTAGTTGGATATTTGGATATGATGTTGATGAAGGTAATTTAATATATATAAGCCTCAATTTATTTTACACTTACAAATTAAATCTTCATATATGTGTTGTTGTATAAATATGTAGATGATCGTGACAAACTTGAAGAAGGCATTGAATTGGATTTCAGGCGTTCGAGTCGTGATAAGCATCAAATTGAGACGGGGGATGACTTCATTTGAGAAGAAACTTTTAATCTTTTTTTTTGAACTCTAAATTATTTTGCATTTTGATTCGTGTGCTTGGATGGTTCATTTGAGAGATGATGATGTTTAGAATTTTTTGATATGTTTAATTTCTTGTTGTTGTTTTGAATGATTTTCTTCTCTATTTTGAAGAATACATTGATCACTTCATATCTAAATGGAAAATTTTTAAATTTTTAAACGTGTCTCTTAACCCGTTGGGTCAACCCGAACCCGATAGCTCTGGGTCATGAACAAGCATCCTTAGACCCGAACCCGAAGTGACCCGAACCCGAAATTACCCGAACCCGATATGACCGAACCCGAACCCGACCTGACCGACCGTTTTGCCAGGTCTAGGAACATCACTTGGGGTACACCACATCTACACCAAGTCAAAAATAAGCACACACTGACACTTAATGTTTGTGCACGCACAAACATTAAGTGTCTGTGTGCTTATTTTTGACTTGGTGTCCTGTACCACAAGTACAAGTGGTATTCACCAAATATTTCTCAAAAAGACTATCTCACCCACACCATATTTGTGTATTTAAACAGTGAAATTTATATTAAATAGAACTAAAAAATATGCATTTTCTAATTTAGAACTTAAACTTTTTAATTTCCTAAATAGTACTTGAATAATGTCCGATTGCGGAAACAATGTCCACTGATGATAGACATTTACTTTGAACAATGACGAGTGGCAATTGACTTTTACTTGAACAATGACCAATGGACATTGAACAGTGGTATTATATTTGGAAATATAAACATATGGTAGTACATTGGAAAACTCATTATGCTTTAATAATATTTAGGTAATTTTTTTTAATATGGGTAATAAAGAGAAAAAATTCTATCATATAGCTACATTGCATATTTAATTCACATTATTAACTTTTAAACTAGTATTGTCTTCGTCTCACAATATTTGACACTCTCCGAATAGGAGGAAAGAATAAAGTAGGTGTAAAACATTGAAAATATATCAAAATAAGAGTCCTATGTTTTTATTATTGAAACAGGAGTTAAAATATATTTACATTAGCAATCATAACCATGTACATTACCAAAAAATATAATAAAATACACATGTATAGTGGCACACACTACTACAAAAACAAACAAATAAATCACCCTATTTGCACCGGTCAGCGGAATAAATGATTTAAAAGCTAAAAAAATTTTGCTAACCGCTTAGCATTTAAATCGATTATTCCTAATAACCGATGCAAAATGGTATTTGCATCGGTTATTAGTAATAACTGATTTAAATGCTTAAACCATTTTAAATCGGTTGTTCCTAATAACTGATGCAAAAGGGGTTGTTAACTCCAGCTCTCAGGAACGTTATCCTTACGCGATTTTGAAAAAAACCTCCAAAGCTTTACTCATCATTTTTCTACTCACTCCGTTTCTTAAAATACTTCTTCTTTCATTTTTTTATTTTCCCAAAACACTTCAACTTTTTATTAAAAAACCACTTTTACCTCCACTTTTTCTTACCATACCTATCACATCATACTTTTTTATTAATAATCTATCCATCACATCTTACTTTTACGCATCACATACCGGGCAAAATTGGAAAGTCAACTCCATATAATCCTTCCTTATTTTTGCCCAAAGTCAAAATAGGAATTGTTTTATGAAACAGAGAAGTACTATTTTTGGTAAATCAGTTAGTGCAAAAATTTAAAAAATACTTCCTCCGTCCCAAATTAAATCGCATGTTTACTATCCACATGGTCAAAGTTTATTCACTTTCTTTCCATATTTTAGTTAATCATTTGGTAAAATAATATAATCATTTCACCACTAGTTTTATTGTACATCTTTTAATATAGTTTTTTAAATGTATAATTTTTATTTTTTAAATTCCACACCGGCCATTATTCATATAAAATCATTGGAAAACAACTCCAGTCAAACATCGGTTTGACTGGAGTTCCTCCAAAATTAGAGCATTCAATATTTAGTCTTCTATTATCGAATATTATGATCGTTGTCCTTCATTTATGGGATACCTTTCCACTGATAATCCTTTGCTTTACCTTCTGTGATGTGGGTGTTAAATTGATGGCTAAAAGTTTAATTTCACATTTGATTTGAATGAAAGTTAGTTTTATATTTTAAATCTTTTGTTCTACAATTTTCTTTAAACACTTGTTCTATAAATATCATTCACTTTTTTTCTCTATTTTCGTTAGTCATTTGATAACATAATATAGGCACGTCACCACTAGTTTTGTAAATATTTTTATGTAGTTTTTAAATATATAATTTTTATTTTTAAATTCTACACCATTTGGCATATAAAATGATTTTGAAATAATTTTAGTCAAATATGATAAACTGAAACAAACGATTTAAATTGCGATGAAGAGAGTACTACTGAATTGTACTCCCTCCGTCCCAAAAAGAATGGGACAGTTTGACTTTTTGGGAAATTAAGGGAGGGATATTTTGGTATTGACTTTCCAAAAATACCCTTGATGTGATGGGTAAAAGTAGGATGTGATGGGTAGATTATTAGAAAAAAAGTATGATGTGATAAGTAGGGTATGAAAAAGTAAGGGGTAAAAGTGGTTTTTTAATAGAAATGTAACAAACTTTACCGGACGCAGTTTTTTCTAAACATAACAAACTTTTTGGGACGGAGGGAGTATTTTTTAAACCAAATCATCTATTGTCATATAAATTTTTTAATGTAGTTTTCAAAATATAACATTTTTTTAAATTTTATATCAATATTGAAATAAATAGATTCAAAACAAACTTTATTTTATTACGGAGTATATCCTAAATGAATACTCGTATGGAATACATTTAGAAGTGAATAGAGTAAGGTATTTATTAATTGAAAATTTTGTTATACATGAAGAGAGAGAATAATTGAATTAGGAAAGCATATTATTATCACAACGAAGATCTCGATTTCATAATCAAATTTATTCAAAGATTTCATTCTAAAATACTCATTTGATATTTTTTAAGGAGTAAATCATAAATTTTCTAATACGTATTAACCATAAATTTCTAGTCACTAAATGAAATAATAAAATTAATATATTTAAACTATCAAACTATGTCCAGTATTTTTTCAACTTTAAGACTATTATAACCCAATCATCTATTGTTTCTAAAATTTGTTTCAATGTAGTTTTTAAAATATATTGTTTGTTTTTAATTTTATATCAATATTGAAAAAATCAGATTCAAAACTAACTTTATTTTAACATATCCTTAACAAATATTCCTATCAAAATTTATTTAGAAGCGAAGAGAGTAACGTATTTATTAATTAAAAATTTTGTTATAAATGAAGCGAGAAAAGGTATTAATTTAGGGAAGAATGTTATTATTAGAGTGTCATCCCACATTAGAAGTTCAAGAGTAAAATAATCAGCATGTAAGCTCTTGAATTGAACTAACTAATCAATTGGATTCAATCTTTTATTGTGATTCAGCCCAAGTGTCTTATAGTCCAATCCAGTTATCTCTACTCAATCCTAAATTCTATCAGTTATTATAAAAACGAAAATCGTAGTTTCATAATTAAATTTCTACAAAAAACTTAGCCTAAAATATTTATTACATATTTTCTTATTTTAAATTAGGTGAAATAAGTCACATAAAAAATACACGTCTCAACTTTTCATTAGGTGATATCTTTAACTATTGAAAGAGAAACAAAATTTGGACATGAATCGAGAGTGTTACACCGCAAATTGCAACTATGCAATATAACATTTAAATTTTGTTAATCCCTTAAATAGTACTTGAATAATGTCTAATGGGGAAACAATGTACAGTGATGGTGGATATTTAGTTTGAACAATGTCCAATGGTGGTGGACGTTTACTTGACCAATGACCAGTACGTGGAAATTGAACAATGGTATTAAATTGGGAAATAAAAACATATGGTATTACATTGAGAAATTCATTATGTTTTAGTACTATGTAGGTAAATTTTCTTTAAATATGGTTTATAAAGAGAAAAAAAACATACTCCGAATAGGAGGAAAGAATAAAATAGCTAGGTGTAAAACATTGAAAATAGGAGTTTCAATGTTTTATACTAGAATAAGAGTTTCATGTTTTTATTACCGAAATAGGAATTACAATGTATTTACATTAACAATCATAACCATGTACATTACCAAAAAAATATAATAAAATACACATATATAGTGGCACATTAACTGAGTGCAAACTCCTATTTAGGTAATAAAAACACGGAACTCTTTTTCTGGTATTTGCCCTATGTTTTTCTCCTATTTAGGATGATTTATTCTCTCAATAATGTGTATGTAAAATCTCATCACTTTTAAAGTCATTTTAATTACATATTGGTATAGATATAAAAACTAAAAATTACATCGTTCAAAATATATCAAAAATTGTACAAAACAAATTGTGACATGAATATTATATTTTATCAAATGCTTTACAAAAAATACAAGTTATCGAATTTCCGTAATAGTGACACTAACAAACATTGTGGGACAAAGGTTAATAAAACAAATATTACTCATTTTTCTACTATTTTTGGTAAATGGGTTAGTGCCATGAAAATTTAAAAAATACTCTCTTCTTCCCAAATTAAATCACATGTTTACTATTCATATGATCAAACTTCATTCACTTTCTTTCCATATTCTTGTTAATCATTTGATAAAATAATATAATTATTTCACTACTAGTTTTGTCGTACGTCTTTTAATATAATTTATAAATATGTAATATTTATTTTTAAAATTCTACACCGGCTGTTATTCATATAAAATCATTTGAAAATAATAACTCCAGTCAAACATCAATGAAAATAATAACTCCAGTCAAACATCAATTTGACTGGAGTCTTCCATATGATTTTGAAAATAATTTTCTATAATTAGTCCTCCAAAGTTGGAGCTTTCCATATTATTCTTCTATTATCCAATGTTATGATCATAGTCCTTCGTTTATGGTTACCTTTCCACTAATAATCCTTTGTTTTATCTTCTGTCATGTTAGTGTTAAATTAAAAACTAAAAGTTTTGTTTCAGATTTGATTTAAATGTAAGATAAACTTTTAATTTTACATTTTAAATCTAACTACGATCTAACAATAATTAAGTTGTTCGTCCAATATTGTGTCTAAAAACATGAGTTATAAATTTATTCAAATGTATCTAAAATGAAGAGGAGAAACAAATTAATGTGTGGATAAAGATTCACGCAGAGCTAGGTTGAGACCATCACTTCAAGCTTGGACCACAATTCATTGCCCATTTTTTCGTGTTATCCTTCTTTGATTGACATTGCACCTGCAGGTCCCAAACCAATTGTGGTATTAATTTTCATCATATTTTATAAAATAATGTAGAGTGATGCCTAAAATCATATCTTGAAAAGTAAAGTATAAAACCATATTCACATGTCCTCATTTTACAATTGGTTCTCAAAGACAAAAAACAAAGTAACAAGTTCATCATCTATATAAAATTGCCTTACATGTGTTGTTTCCTCGAGACTATATTTAACAATTTTTGTTCTACCTTATTCTTACATAAAGTAGCAGCCTGCAAGCATTGACAACATTTATAAAAAATATAGAATTTAATAAACTTAATGATAATAATTTCACTTTAATTCATAAAACTCCCTCTAAGTAAGCAACACTAAGTTCTTTCTTTGTAAAAGATTGATACATTTGAACTTCTTGAGGGTAAAGTTTCAGCACTGTATCCACCAATAACTCAATTTGAGCGCGAGATAGTTGGCCCTACAAACAAATAAAATGACGACATTCAAACGGTTGCATATCTTCATGTGCATGACGAATGTAGAAGAGAATGAATTTCCATGACACCAACTTTAACCAAGTCCATATATTGTTCATAAAGCTTTGATTGAATCTTCAAATGGAACATCATAATAAGTCTATGAAAGGAGGCATTAATTCCATGAATATTTCAAAAAATACAGTTCTATGTAGAAAAAGTTGTTAACAAGTTTGTTCTTAGACATAATCTAGTCACCATGGGGAACACATCATTTTTTTTGCATCTTAAAATTAGCCCTAGAGAAAATCAGCATTGGATTGTGAAACATTAGATCAAGTGCTTACTATACCCTATTATACCGTGAATACAATTTGTGGATTGCGTCAACAAGAAGCTAAAAAAGTAAAAAAGACGGAATTTAATACTCTCAGTTTTATTAAAAAAGATAAAATAAAATATGTTGATAACCCAAATTGTATTCACAGATTGTAACACAGATTGTTAAGGGTTGTAAACGAGAGGAAGCTTGGATATTCAAGTAACACAGATTGTATTCACAGATTAACACAAGTTGATAACAAAGATTATTTTACTAGTATATCATCACCCATTAAGCTGAGTATGCATGGAAGAAGCAAGAGGAAGCCAAGTATGGAAGATTGTATTGAGAGATTCAGACTCATATACATGCTGAACACAGATCCCCTAGTAAACGAGATGATATTCACAGATTAACACAAGTTGATAACACACAGATTATATTCACAGATTGTAAAATAAAACTAAGTTGATTACACAGATTGTATTGACAGATTGATATACTAAGTTGATAACACAGATTGTATTCACTTTGTAACATATATAATACAACACAGATTGTATTCACGATAGAGTGATACACTAGAAACAAGAATAGCCAGAAACTCAGAAAGTGAACATAAATGGCTTTCTAAAGAAGATGCATCTGCTACCAAATTCTTAAGATAATATGTAGCCCATACCTGATAGTATGACAAAACTATTTATAATACTTTTAATTGGATGAAGATTTATTTCAATGGAGAAGATCTAACAAGTATTTGACAAAGCATCATGAACATAACACCAAGAAGAAAGAGATAGTAACTTCCATAACCGTACCCACCTGGACCTAATTAACCAACACCCAAATTTTAGTAGATAAATTGAACTCACATGAAGTATATTTTTTTTGCATGGAAATGTTCTCTTTCCCGAGTAGATGCATTAGGAGGTGTTGGAGTACAAGTACCATAATCACCGTCTTCCTTAGTCGTACCAACAAAAATACTCTGATATCAAATAACATAAATATAATCTACGGTACAAAATCTGGTTCATATTTTAAAGAGCAAAGATTGATATTAGTTAGAGAACTAAACTCACAGGATTTCTATTTCTTTGTATAACTGTTTTCTGTTATTCTACAGCTCTCTGCTCACTACATGCATTATCACGCGTGGGAGCACATGCACTATATCCACCTTCTCCTAAATGTTTTTTCCTGCTAAACTAATAAAAACCAGAAGAGAAAGCTTCCTGCTAAACTAATAAAAACCAGAAGAGAAAGAGAAGAAATCAACCTAATTGGATGATTTCCCCATAGCTTGCAATAGAAACCACTAAAAAAACCAAGACTTATTATAAACCAATAATCAGAGAACTAATCAAAACCCTTTTTCCCCACAAAAAAAATCAAACTTTATGGAAACTCTAACATCAGATGGGTAAACTGAACATAAAACCCCCAAAATTAATCCACACGAGAAATAAACCTGAGAAATAAACAGAACACAGACGAGGACGACGACTCGAGAATTAGTATTATTCACATTGGAGAAGATAAAGCTAAAGGTCAAACATAAAAACCCTAACAAGTGCGGGAGGAATCCGAACAAATATCACAATTCGAATCAGGAAATTTGGTAAAGAACATCAGCGTCTTTGAGATTTCTTGGTTGAACTAAAAGTTTGAAGGGGTACAATACCTGAATCAATGAAGGGGCCGAACAATTGTGAAGAAGAACGATGAATCTGGCCGAACGATTGAGAAGAAGTTGTTGATCAACGAATGAATCTGACAAAAGGATTGTGAATTACCGTGGGTTGAAGGACTCAGACCTGAACGAAAAGGACGCAGAACTACCTGGGGCAGCTGCAGAAGCTCTTCACAAAGGGCTCGATTAATGAATTCACTCGAACGAAAAGGATGGAATTGATCCCAGGTCGGAGGTGATGCCGGATGTGCTAGCGCTGGATGGCTGAAGTGAATTAGTGTGTTTGGGATTGGATTTGGATTTCAACAAAATTCTTTTAATTCAGAAGTAACTCAAATACAAATTCACCCCACTTCCCGTGTCATTTGCAATTTAAGTCCAATTTTTTCTGAAATTTACAACTTGCAATTAAAGAGTGATTTCTCCTTGTCTAATAACAATTCCATAAATATCAACTCACTTCATTTAGTGTCTTTATTGACTTCAAATTTCAAATTTTAGGATTAAAATTCTATGACATCCCAAACAATATTTAGAATTTGAAATTATGGTATTTCAAATGTTGGAATTGAAATCTAAGATTTTAAATGAATTCTAGTTTTCAAACACTACCTCAATTAATTTTTAGGGGGGATGAATTTAGGCGCTGGAGTGAAAAAGTGGGCGCTAAAGTTTTGTAGGCGGATGAATTTTTTTCTTTGGGAACATGGATTTGGATTAAATTTTGAATTTGGATTTGAGTCAAATTCTTATTATTCATGACATCAGTGAATTCTTTGTCCTGCTTTTTAATGTTTTTTAAAAAGTAATAGAGTATAATTTGACCTTTTCAATATCTATGTTACGGAAGAAAAAAAATGAATAATGATGTAGGTTTATTTTATAATAATTAAGTATACTTAAGTCATTTTGCACACTTATTTTATGCGAGTAAATGAATTTACCTTTTGCCTCTCTTTTAAGTGTAGGAAATGATAAGTTGCTAAATTTTATTACCACACTTGGTCATGTGCCGCGAATTAAATGCGGCTAAAAGGCTCTTTTCTTGTAGTGTACATACACTGCTCTCCACTATGTGATTGGGGTATGTAATGAGATATATTATGTGTAACTTTCCGAAAATATGCCTCTCGGAATTAATTAATTGATAATTAATTAATTACTGAGAAGGACTCAAAAGAGTATACCCTAATTGGGACCATTTTAGTCTCAATCAGGGAGAGACGTAAAATATCAAAATGGATTGCCGCTCCCTCCACTAACATGATTTAGAAGATTGTGAATAACGCCGCAAGGCCGGGCAACTTCTTCCTCTTCTTCACTATATAAGGTCACCTCAAGTCCCTTAATTTTTCACCAATTCCTTTTTCTATTGTGTTTTTTGTTGAGAGGGGAGGCCGTTACAATTCTCGTACGGATTACAATAGACGGGAAAGATGAACGGCCCTGGAAATAAAAATAAATAAAATTCTGATTTTATAATTTATTCAGAATATTGCAAAATAAATAAAGTTGGAAAATAAATTTCTATATCTTCAAACGGTCTTGTTGTACGAGGACATTAAACACTTGACAGTGAGGACGTTAAGCACTGGACAGCGAGGTCTTTAAGAACTGGACAGCGAGGTCTTTAAGGATTGGACAGCGAGGTCTTTAAGCACTACAAAAACAAAACACCATGGAAGGACAACGGAGTCGCCGGAGCTGTCCTTAAGGTAGTAGTGCCCGCCTACCGTACCGAAAAACGTGGGCACTCTCCTCCCAGAATAAAACCGCTATCATGTGTGGTGATTGTACGGACCAGCCACACACCAACGAACAAGAACAACGTAGGAACGTTGGCGACTGGAAAAAATGAAGGTAATCGCCGGAAAAATTGGCAAGAAAACCAAGAGCTCTCCTCAAAGTTAAACAAGGACAAAAGTGTTAACTTTTTCCTTCTCCTCTTTTTTTTCCCACGTATGGATGCTCTAAAAAGAGAAGAGTTCCTCCATTTAAATAGGCATTTTCATGGCTCTTCTTTTTGTAACTTATATGCCATGAAGGCACATTCAATAGCCATGACTCACCATCATTAGTAATATTTTTAATGGTGTGTTAATAACACCATTAACATGGGGGTTACACCCATAATGTTTAAAATTCTTCCTATTTAATTGGAGATTAATGGCCAGTTAACTGCGTAAAAGTGGAATAATTTTAAACATTTTGTAACGGGTTAACTCTGAGAATCAATTTCTCATTCACCATTCTACCATTTTTGGCGTATAATATATCAAAATATTTATCTCATTTAAAAGAACACACGTCCTTTAATTAATGGTTAAAACCGTTAGTGGACCTATTGATAATTATACCCAAGTTGGTCCATTTAATGCCTATTAAAATGCCAAAAATTCCAACAATCCCCCACATGAATGAAAATTGATTTGGGGGTCGACAACATCCCACGGTTGAAAATCTGCAAAGAACATGTACGTGTCTCCACTTTTGAACATGTCCCTTGTAAAGTATACCTTCTTTACTCGCTGTTTAGTACAACGTGATTTCTTTGAACTGTACTGCCGCTTGTGTAAACGATAGTATACCATACACAGATTTCAACCAAACGCCGTTATGTTCTCTGTTAAACAAGGCGTGCAACTCTAGAGGGGGGGGGGTGAATAGAGTTGTTGAGAAAGATTACCGATTTTCGCAGGATAAATAAAATAAACATAAGTGCAGCGGAAATAAAAGAGAGAAGGCAAAGAACACATCGATGTATACTGGTTCACCACCTCGTGGCTAGTCCAGTTCCCCGAGAGACTCTTTCGAAGCTACCACTACTTCCGTTAAGCTTACGGGTGCTTAACAAACCGTTTACAACTCGAGAACTTGAATCCCACAAGCCTCGACACAATCGCTCGTAGATATGCCCTCTACAAGACTTCACAACCAAGACTTAAGTCACATAAGTCTTGAACAACGAGAAGAAAAATTTTCTTCAACCTCTCAACAATAGCTCTCAAAAGAGTAGAAATGAGAAATGATTAAAGCTCTAATGGATGACAAGAAACCTCTCTTGAAAATATAATTTTCTCTCAAAATAATATAAATTTGAGGAAGGATTGATGGAGGATTAACACCTCAAGAATGGGGAGTATTGGAGTGTTTCTTGTTATGAAAAATGACCAAGGAATGAGGTTTATAAAGGGGTTGAAGGAATATATCCGTTGGTCCAAGAAAAGAAGCTGTGATGAAAAATGCAGCATAATAATCGATTAATGCAGTGTCAATAATCGATTAATGCAGTCTGCGCAGAGTTCCTTCAACGCGTGAATAATCGATTAATGCAAAGAGATTAATCAATTAGAAGGCTCTGAGAGGACTAATCGATTAAAACAAGAGGAATAATCGATTAATGAAATGCGAACGACAGTTAATCGATTAAACAGAGAAATATAATCGATTACCAAAAGAAATAATGGGCAAAACACAAAGGGCCCAAGCCAGTTGCGATGGAGAGCAAATTGGCGTAACACTCGTTGTTTGAGACAACGGGAATCAGAGAACGCTCCTCCTCTTATTCAATGAATTTGAATAAGGGAGTAAAAGTGAGTCCAAAAATTATTTTGTGTGTCAAACGATGTACACGAAAAATATTTGAATAAAATATTTTTGCTTATCAAAAATATTTTATAATATCAAAATAAATATTTGATAGATGTTTGACGCACTTTTTGTAACTGACTTAATAAAACTATTTTGAACAGTTAAAAAAAATTTTCAACTGACTCCAAAAATAAATATAATTTTTATTTTGACTCTCATAAAAATAATTTTGGAGAGAAGATATTTTTGTCATCCTTACAATAATTCCTAAGACTCAAATAAATAAAAAGTCTTCGGAAAACTTCTACTCCTCCGAGTCCTCCGTTAGGTGCTCCGGACGCGTCTCGGACTTTAACAGAATTCTGTGCACCTTCTTGAATATTTCAAGGAATGACACTTCAAGTCTTCGTGATTGTCGTTGTAGCACTTTAATCTTGACTTGAATAAATTGTGTTTGTCAATTATCAAAACCTGTGAGTCAACACTAAACAACACAGAATTGGTTGAACACATGCATTCCAACAATTCTCATGGTTGTGCCCATTTTGGTTGTGAGACACGCGCCTGGTTCTGCGAGAGTGTTTAGAGGATTAAGCCTAAGATCCTCCGTTTGAAGCGACCACACTTCACTCTTACATAGGTGATTCTTTAAGAGTATCCCGATTACTCCCCTTAGACCACCGTGTCTATTGGTTATGAATCATTAAAGCATATTTATATGTTAACCTCATCATTTTTGGGAGTCACTGTCTTCAGCAGGAACAGAAGGGACTGACTGAAGGTTCCGATACCGCCCCCACAGTGACCTCGCTTTATCCTACAAGTAGATTGTCCCATTGAACCTAGGTACCAGCTAGGTTGGGTTTTCCTTCATAGGACTGTCCTAGCACAAGGGTTTCAGACCCATTCCCGCTACAAACTTCTCATGCAACTCATTTGTTAACCCTTTGGTTAGCGGATCCGCCAGATTATCTTTTGACTTCACATAGTCAATTGTGATAATCCTAGGTTTGAGAAGTTGTCTAATGGTTTTGTGTCTACGACGAATATGTCTAGACTTACCATTATACATATTACTCTTTGCACGTTCTATTGCTGATTGACAATCACAATATATGCAAACTGGTGGGGCCGGTTTATCCCATCTTGGAATGTCCTCTAGGAAGTGGTGTAGCCATTCAGCTTCCTCTCCACATTTGTCTAGAGCTATAAACTCAGGCTCCATGGTGGACCTAGAAATCACTGTTTGCTTTGAGGATTTCCAAGATACTGCTGCATCCGCTAGTGTAAAGACATATCCACTTGTGGACTTCAAGTCTTTACTATCAGATATCCAATTCGCATCCGAGTATCCTTCCAGTACCAGTGGATATCTCGAGTAGCATAATCCATAGTCACGTGTATACCGTAGGTATCTCATCACACGTACAATAGCCTTCCAGTGCTCATCACTCGGATTGCTGGTGTATTTATTCAACTTACTTATGGCACAGGCTAAATCTGGTCAAGTGCAACTCATTGGATATATCAAACTTCCAATAACTCTCGCATACTCGATTTGAGAGTTACTAGAACCTCGGTTTTTAGCCAGGTGTGCATTGACGTCCAACGACGTCTTTGCTACTCTAACGTCATCCTTGTTGAACTTGTCAAGGATTTTATCAATATAATGGGATTGGCTCAGTGCTAGACCCCCAGGTCTTCTCACAATTTTAATTCCAAGAATTACTTCAGCCAGACCCATATCTTTCATGTCAAATCGCGGGTTTAACATGTCTTTGGTAGACTTGACCATCTTGTCATCGCTACCAACTATGAGTATGTCGTCTACATATAGACACCACATGACATACCCTTGGGATGTGTTTTTTAGATAAACACACTTGTCTGATTCATTAATTTTGAACCCAAAGTTTATCATTACCTGGTCAAACTTCTCATGCCATACTTTTGGCGCCTGTTTAAGACCATATAATGACTTAACGAGTTTACATACTTTCCTTTCTTGACCAGGAACTATAAACCCTTCTGGTTGTTCCATGTAGATCTCTTCTTCTAGATCTCCATTAAGGAAAGTTGTTTTCACATCCATTTGATGAACTTCTAAGTTCCACAAGGAAGCTATTGCAAGTATCATCCTAATGGAATTTATCCTTGACACAGGGGCATATATATCAAAATAATCAAAGCCCTCACATTGATTGTAACCCTTAATTACAAGTCTGGCTTTGTACTTATCAATGGAACCATCTGGTTTCATTTTCCTCAGAAAGATTCACTTATAACCTAACGGTTTGCATCCGGAAGGTAGATTCACTAACTCCCAAGTGTGATTCTGCATAATAGAATCAACTTCACTTTTAATTGACTCTTTCCACTGAGGGCCTTCAAACAAAGTCACTGCTTCACGATAAGTTCGTGGTTCATTTTCTAATAAACTTGTTAGAATATCGGGTTCAGTCTCTATCAGAAATGATAGAGTCCCCGATTCAAATTCCAACAAATAAGTTAGGAAATCATTACCAAAGGACTTCTTAGTCCGTGTCCTTTTACTTCGTCTTAGTTCAGTCCCAGTTTCAGTTTTATCAATTATATCAGTATTAGACTGATCCGAGGAACCATCGTGCAACATTTCATCATGTGAACGTTTGGAAGAACTTGATTCTTCCCTCGACTTTAACGGAAATATGTTTTCGAAGAATGTTGCATTCCTCGATTCCATTATCGTGTTCTTATGTATTTCTGAATTATCAGACCGATACACTAAGAATCGATACGCGCTACCACTGTAGCCAATAAAGATTCCATCAACGGTCTTTGGTGTTAGACAAATGTGCAACTCTAGAGGGGGGGGGGTGAATAGAGTTGTTTTCAAGAATGTGCGTTTTTCGCGTGTGTGAAATAATAAAATCGCAGAAATAAATAAAGAGAGTAAGGGAAAGAAGAACACCGAGATTTATATTGGTTCACCACCTCGTGGCTAGTCCAGTCCTCCGAGAGACTCTCTCGAAAGTCCTACTAATCTTCAAGCTTCAACGGGTGCTTGAAAAACTGATACAACTTAAGAACTTGAATCACACAAGCCTCACTTTCTTACAACAACAAGACTTGAGTCACACAAGTCTTTAGAACAACACTCAAATGAGATTGAGTTTAATAACACAAGAATGAAAGCTCACACAATTGAGCAAAGTAGTGTTGAAGAATTAAAGTTCTATGGATGACAAAATCTTTAGCACTCAATAAAATATTTCTAACTCTCAAAATAATACTCTCTCTGTCCATGTATGATCTTCCCATTACGCATTACGAGGCTTGACTGACTTTATTTTCAATTCAATTTAATTGATTATAGGAGTAAAATTTTAAAATAAAATTTATAAAGTAATAAACTACATGAAAAGTTCTACAAAACTAGAGGTGACAAGACTATATTCTTTTATGAAATGACTAGTAAAATTGAGCAAACAAAGTGAGTAAAGTTTGACCCTGTGAATAGTGTCTGGGAAGATCTATGGTGGACAGAGGGAGTATATTTGATGAGGAAGATAGAAGCAAAAAATAAATATAGCTCAATGAAGATATTGGAGTGCAAGAGTTGTGTCTTAAAATGAAGGAGAATGAGGGATTAAATAGGCTGAGAAAAAAGAACCGTTGGAGTAAGCTGAGGATATGCACTAGATAAAATTAATCGATTAACGTAGATAGTTAAGTCGATTACGGTACACAGAGGCGAAAAATCTTGAATAGAAGAACAGAAATAATCGATTAAAGGAAGGCCTAAAAATCGATTAGTCGCCTCTTTCCGAACTAATCGATTAATTGAAGACCAAAAATCGATTATTGGTCAGATCAGGGGAATCCAATGAAAAGCCTATTAATCGATTATATGAAGGCAGATAATCGATTATGGAGGAGATAATGCGCAACGCAAAGGGCCCAAGCCAGTTGCGATAAGAAGTGAATTGGCTTATACTCGTTTGTTTGAGACAAGAACACTCCTCAAGAGAAAGTATCCCTTATTCAATTAATATTGAATAGGGGAGAAAAAGTGAGTCCAAAAATTATTTTATGTGTCAAATGATGTATACGAAAAATATTTAAAGTATATTTTTCTTACCAAAAGAAAATTGTGTATCCTAAAAAAATATTTTTAAGAAATTTTGACACACTATTTTGAAACTGACTCAGTAAAATATTTTTAGACAGAGAAAAAATAATTTTTCAACTGACTCAGAAAATAATAATTTTTATCCTTCAAAATTAATTTGTTAATGCAAAAAGTATTGTCATCCTTACAAAGTTCCTAGACTCAATAAAAAAATAAAAGGTCTTCGGAATCTTCACTTCACTTCAAAAAATTTCTGCGTAAGGGTAAGCCTTGATTTTATCTTGATACGCCTCTTTGCTTTTCTCGATACGAAAATAAATTTTCGATCAGCTTGAATCTAATCATCCTGTTTGTCATTCATCAAAACAAAAAAAATATTCCAGAAGAAATAGTAAATGGGTTTGAACTCATGTCCAACAATTTCTCCCTTTTTGATAATGACAAACATAGTTGAGAAAGAGCAAAGTAAGAGTTCAAAAATTACTTCCTTTTAAGAATAATTCCCCCTACAAGGTTAGAGAAGTGAAAAATATCGGAGTAAAAAGCGGAAAAACGTTTTTAAGAAAAAAAATTTCTCAACTATCCTTCCAAAAACGTTTTTAAGAAAAAGTTTTTCTCAACTATCCTTCCTTCCTCCTTTTGGCATTATCAACCGATAACCTTCCCCCTTAATCAATGCCGGGATATTGAAGGATAAATTTGCAAGAAATTTTCTAAAAAAAAACTTCTAAAAGGAATGCCACAAAGGGACAATATGTTCTAGAAGAGAACTACATTGCCAAACACACAAATACATAATTAGCAACATAATCATTCATCAAAAGAGTCATAACAATAGCAGATAACAAAGTATCATAATAAGTCAAGATAGAAGGAATATAATCAAAGAGAGTTCGCCGGACGAGCTCCTCCGCTAAAGCTGTGACGCGGGCCACAGTAGGAGCGGGATTGCTCAAAACGAGTCATCCTCTCGTTGGGCTGGCGAACGTCATCTCTGATGCACGTGAGAGTATCGAAGATCCTCTTCACCCAAGAAGGTTCCGGTGCTTCTTCTCTTGGACGAGTCCTGCGTTGATGAGTGATGCGCTTCGTGGCTCGACTTCCTCCAGCACGAGATGACTCAGCTTGAGTCTCGTTTTGGCTCTCTTCTTCGTCTGCGACTATTAGGTCCAGATTTGGTGCAGCATCACCCTCCTCACGGTACACGATCTGGGGAAACTTGGCTTCAGGGATGAAACAAGTTTTCTTGACCGGCACCTGAGTGTCCCGAGTAAAGTCTATTTTGGAATGTGCAAGGATATGCATGATGGGGATGGCAAAACGGAGATGGGAAAAACGAGTGCCATCGCTAAGTGCAATGATAAAGAAGTGAACCCAATCAAATTTGACATTGTTCAATAGGATGTGAAACAAACGAATATCGTCCTTGTTGACAACGCCATGGTTCGAATCACGGGGCAACAAAACATAGGAAAAGATGTATTGTTGGACGCGTTGAATTAAAGTGAGATTAATGTCACTCGGGTTGCTAGAATTTCTAAACTTGAGGTCACGATGATCTAACCCGAGTTGTCGCCAAATTGCCTTATCTTGGAATGTTTCATCCAAGTTTTTGGTGATTTCATCTCGACGAAGGCCAAACAGAGAAGTCAAACCGGCACCGTCAATGAAAACGGTTTTTCCGTCAACATAGGAAATGAGATTTGCATATGTTAAATGGATGAAACGAATAAGATTTACATAAAATTGTCGTATAAGATTTGGACAAAAGAATTCATACGTCAAATGGATGAAACGAAGCAATCCTTGCTGAGAGAAAAGAGACTTACTTGGGGCATAGGTCGCCGATTTGTAGAGGTCCTTGTTCACGATCTTAGGTGAGACAATCTCTTTCGTGAGAAAGATGTTGTGGAACCTCTCGGCTGAAGCCCTAGTGTTGAAGGCGAGTCCGGTTTGGATGTGAATGTACTTGCTCCCTTCACGACGCCATGACCTCTCACCTTCTACTACTGCCGATTCTTGACGTGATGAAGCATTCTTGCACCTGGGCATCCTTCCCCTTTGAATTTGATGAATTTTGGTGAGAAATATTTAGGAGATTGTTGAAGAAATAGGCAGAGAAGATCGAAGGAGGGGGCTAGGGTTTTGCCTATCTCTGGTTCTATAAAAAGAGAATGGTGAAGAAGACGAAGACTGGCTGATTATAAAGGAAGCAATAATCGAATATTAATCGATTAAAAAGGGTATTTAATCGATTAAGGAACACAACCGAGGCAAATTGACTAAATTAAACTAATTAATCGATTATAAGTGGAGCAGAACCAAAGACGTTTGCGCTTCAAGCTATTAATCGATTAAACAAAGATGATTAATTGATTAAGATGGACAGATGAGTCTAATCGATTAATTTAATAGGATTAATCGATTAAAAGTGAAACAGAGCTAAAGAAGGTTTCCTTGAAGGATTTTAATCGATTAACAAAAGGACAGTAATCGATTAAGAGGGACAGAGGCGACTAATCGATTTCTCTTCGAGGAGTAATCGATTAAGATGGACAGATGAGTCTAATCGATTAATTTAACAGGATTAATCAATTAAAAGTGAAGCAGAGCTAAAGAAGGTTTCCTTGAAGGATTTTAATCGATTAACAAAAGAACAGTAATCGATTAAGAGGGACAGAGGCGACTAATCGATTTCTCTTCCAAAATTCCAAGTTCTTTCCGAATGTGGAAGAAACTCTCCCTACTAGGGGGTTTCGTGAAAATGTCCGCCAATTGATGTTTCGTTTCAACAAACTCAATTGTAACATCTCCCTTTTGGACGTGATCTCGTATGAAGTGATGCCTAATTTCTATGTGTTTAGTCCTCGAGTGAAGAACGGGGTTTTTCGTTAGACTAATAGTGCTCATATTGTCACACCTAATAGGGATGCGATCAAGTATAAGGCCGAAATCCACTAGTTGTTGTTTTAGCCAAAGAATTTGGGCACAACAACTTCCCGCAGCGACATATTCCGCTTCGGTGGTGGAAAGTGCAACAATGACCGAATAAGTGGCAAGTACCGCTGATACTTTTCCTATCAAGTTTACAACCTGCAAAATCCGAGTCGGAATAGCCAACAAGATGACATGTTGAACCTTTGGGATACCAAAGACCTACGTTCAACGTGCACGCGAGATATCGCATTATCCTTTTGATCGCAACCAAGTGCGACTCTTTATGACATGATTGATACCTAGCGCATATACAAACGGAGTACATGATATCCGGTCTACTCGCGGTAAGATAAAATAAAGAGCCGATCATACCTCGGTAGCGCTTGATGTCTACCTCTTTACCTTTTTCGTCCTTTTGAAGATAGCAAGAGGTGCTCATTGGTGTCTCAATGGATTTGGATTCGGTAACATCGAATCTTTTAAGCAATTCCCTGCAATATTTCGTTTGACACACGAATGTTCCTTCTATGCATTGTCTAATTTGCAGCCCAAGGAAGAACTTTAATTCTCCCACCATCGACATTTCAAATTCACTTTGCATCATATCGGAAAAATCCCTGCACAAAACCTCATTAGTAGCACCGAATATGATATCATCTACGTAAACTTGAACCAAAAGGATGTCTTGATTATCTTTCTTGATAAAAAGAGTAGTGTCGACTTGACCCCGTTTGAACTCATGGTCCAAAAGAAATTTTCTTAACCGTTCATACCAAGCACGAGGTGCTTGTTTGAGACCGTAAAGCGCCTTTTTGAGTTTGAAGACATGTTCGGGAAACTCATAGTCTTCGAAACCTGGGGGTTGTTCGACATACACTTCCATTTGATAAAGTTTAAAATCTATTGTAGATGCAAATGCAAGCAATAAACGAATAGCTTTTAAACGTGCAACCGGTGCATAAGTTTCTTCATAATCAATGTCTTCTTCTTGATTGTAGCCTTTAGCTACAAGCCAAGCTTTTTTTCTAGTGATTATTCCATTTTCATCAAGTTTGTTACGAAACACCCATTTTGTGCCAATAACGGAATGATCATTAGGTCTAGGAACCTATTCCCAAACATCATTGTGTTTAAATTGGTTAAGCTCCTCTTGCATTGTCATAGAGCAATGTTCATCATTAATAGCATCCAAAATGGTTGTTGGTTCAATTTGTGAAACAAAGGCCATGTGATTAATTGTGTTCCTAAGAGAATTGCGAGTAGAAACTCCCTGCGTTATGTCACCAATGACATTGTCAATCAGGTGGTTCTTCAATGTTCTCCATTCCTTAGGAAGCTCCGTTTGTTCTTGCGTTTTCTCTTCTTCCGGTTCCTTTTCCTTAACGATTTCTTCATCATCATCATAAGAACCTGCAACATTATCAACAATACCTTTTCTCGCCAAGCGTGCATCAAATTCATCAAAGACAACATGAATAGACTCCTCTACGGTCTTAGTACGCTTGTTGAACACTCTATATGCCTTACTACGAAGAAAATAACCTAAGAAAATTCCTTCATCCGACTTAGCATCAAATTTTCCCAAGTTATCTTTTCCATTATTATGAATGAAAACTTTACATCCAAAGACATGAAAATACCACAAAAACTGTAAGAGAAAGATTGAGAACTCTAGATGGGTTAAAACAGAAGGGGTTAAAACAGTAGGGGTTTCTAGAACTGGAATTCAACAAGTTGTTCCTAAGCCTGGAGTGACCCCAACAACAATAGAAGCTGTTTTGCAAACAACCCAGGGCGAGGATGCAACCGGGTCTGCTTCTGCTGCCGAAACAACAGACTCAAATGGGGCTGCTCCTCCAAGAGTTGACATGGCAACTAATCTAACCCTCTCTCATGTGAGGGACTCTACAGCTCATTAACCCCCTTCAATTTCTATTGCTCTTGAAACAACCCCTCGTGGCAGCTCCCCAGCAACAAACCTTAGGACTGATCCAGACCCTATCGTGTGTGAAGACACAGATTGTGTTGAGAAAGATGCTGAAGCAACTCTTACTCAAAGTTGTACAGCAGCTCATCATAATGTTAAGATAGCTTCAGATGTTTGTGAAGTTATTCCTCTTATTCCTACTGCCAATTGTCCAGCAACTTGTGGTATTAGTGAGGTAATATTGGTGACTCCTACCAATGTACAAGATGACACCCTTATACTGGAACCCGATTCTCCTTTACTTTTTAACAACGAACTCAGTCGTGGTACACACAATCTGTCTTCCAAGGCAGCATTGGAAGGCACACAGACTGTTGACACTGAAAATAAGGAAGAGTATATTCCTAACCCTTCTCAAATCAACCTAATTGAATTTCCAGTCCTCACAAAAGAATTGTTGGAAGCTACTAGTGGTGGCACACTCCCTCTCTTGAGAAGGAGATGGAAGGCACACTAAGTCTTTCATCTACAGGAAATGATGAGATTCCTTCTGATCCTATGGAAAAAAAAACCCCCCTCCACTGTTGACTAACGATGCAGGTATAAACCCATCAACAATAGGACCGGTCCTTCAATCCTTTGAGATCGACAGACAAGAATATGAAATTAGGTCCTACATTGAAGAAGGGGGGACATCACAACAAAGGGAGGAAACCAATGACTTTCAAGATGTCCAAAATAGGCATACCAAAAAAGCAGGCAAGAGGCCAAATGCACCAAGAACAATCAAAACTAGAAGCTACGACCCAAACCTCGAAGTCGGGACGGTTAGTGAGATCACCAAATACTGGCCTAGCCGAAAATCAACACCTTTGGAAAAAATTATCACTACCAAAAGTTACTCCGGGCCCTTTTGGTATGTCGGCCCCGTCGGTCCTATTGGAACTGATGGGAAGAGGCCAAAGAAAGTAATGCCTAGAAACTTTTCCCTTGATCAGCATCCCGGTTTTATAATCTGGGAGTGATCATTTTTCGTTCATGTTTATTTCCCTTTCAGCTTTTCTTTACTTCATGCAGTTTAAGAGGGGCATTGGTCTAGTCCTCCCCTCCATGTACTTTTTCTTTCTTTCCTTTTTCTTATTAAAAATTATCCTTTCAATAAATAAATAAATATATATATATATATATATATATATATATAGAGAGAGAGAGAGAGAGAGATTTAAATATGAACACCTCAAAATATTTTTTTTAAATCTATATTTTTGGAAAGACTTTGGAGTATAAAACATTTTTGGTTTGGTTGCAAGAGTTTTCATTATCATCTAGAACTAATATTTTTAACCATATCTTTGCTTTCACTCGTGAAACAGCAATATAAAGTTGACTATGACTGACCATGAGTGAACACAGACTTGGTTAAAAAAATCCAAGAAATTACAATGTTTGACTTCTAGTTTTGTTAATAATCATAACAAAACATATAATTATTGAGAATTGTCTTCTCTAGAACTTCATGGGTTGTCTTATATCAGATGGTACCAAATTCATTCTAGGTATTTAAACCTTTTCCCTAACTCGATTTTCCGAAACCATAATAACACTACTAACGTTATTTCGTAGATTTTCAACGATTAATCTTGTCTCATTACACAATCTAGATGTTTAGTCAATGTTCCTTAATAACATAATTAGTACTTCTTTTTTCAAAACTATTTTATGGTTTGGGATTCCGAACATTTTATTTCATTCAAAAACTGAATGGTTATCAATCACCATAAAGAATCTGCATCTGCTTGACATGAAGAATCAGAACCCAGGTACTCTTTTTCATTACCGAAAATGAAACATGACAAATTCATTTATCATTTCAACTAATTCGAGTGTTAGTCTTAATAGTGTCATATCCTCAAAAAATATGAATTCATATTCTATAATATGTTCAAATAAGTGAAGTCAACATACTACACTCTTGATAAGAGAACTTGTGTCAAGAATCAAGGTTTCGCGGGAATCTCATCATCATTATCTCCATCAACCACCTGACCTACTTTTCCATCTATGACTTTGTTTATCAAATAAGAAAAAGCTTGAGTGTTCCTATCTGCACAAGAGGACGTAGATGAATGCAGTCTCATATTCTTGGTGAATGTATAAACTTTACAATACGATCACAATTTTGAAGAATTGACTGTAGCACCTACAATTTTCTCTCTCGAAGCTTTGAGTAAAACTGGAAGGATATGGTGAAAGTCACCTCCGATT